AAAGAAATTTAAAATTAAGCCCTTAAAAAATACACCTAAGAGCTTGGGAAATATAATTCTTTCATCCATAATTATACATTTGTGATGTGTCTATTATGTGTCTGTGATTTTTAGTTATGTAAAAAAAATTATGTTGATTTTTACAAACGAATGTGGAAAACAATGGATATCATTACTGTTTTGTTATGAATGTTTAGGAATGGGAAGTTATCAGAAAATTGATTTCACTATATTTCAAAATTGCCTAAAATTCATGCTCTTTAGAGGATTTTGGAATATTTTAAGTCAGCACAATTAGTGCTTTCCCTTTCTGTATTTACTTTTAAATAAACATTTAATATTTCTCATTTCTTTTGCTATTCTTAAATTAATATAATAAGTAATTGGTATTATCTTGATAATTATTGACTAGAAAACTCATCTTTTAAAAATTGAATGTTATATAAAAATTCCACACTTTAACATAATTTAAAAAAATTTAGAGCAAATTAAGTCTAAAACTAGTTGTGATCAATAGGACTTTGACATCTTGCTTTTCAAATAAACTTTTTGAATAAAATAGGGTAAAATATGTGCTAATTAGTTGCCATCTCAGATATTTTAAATGTTTGGATCATTTTAACAGATTTTGACTCATGGTATTTATGAAGATGAATGCAGTTAACCTTTATGTTTCTATAGTTGTTTTTTGGTTATTTATGTACTGATGTTCTGTAGGAATGGGAAGTGGTAGTGCTGGAAAAGAAGGGGGGCCATTTAAAGCTCTTTTGAGACAACAGACTCAGTCAGCACTGGAACAGAGGGTAAGAGTCACTCAAGATTCTTTATTCTTATACTGTCAATGTGATTTTATTATCATGCTTTCACTAGTACTTTTCCATACTAATTTTGGTTATGTACCTGTAATATTGTAACTTCAAAGTCCAATATGTATTTAAGGAATCAAAGTAATTTGTTTATGAATAGTTACTTGTAATTTGGAATAATTTTACAACTATCTTTTCTCCTGTCTTTTATTAGAAATAGTCCATTAGGAAATAACCATTGAATGATGAAATCATTTCTAATTTTGCATTAAAGTTATATAAAATAAATCAGACATTTTTCTAGAAAAATATTTTAGTTTTATTATATTAAAATAATTCTTTTGTATATTTATACATTTATTTGCTGAGATTGTTTTTATTACTGGCTAATCTAAGGATAAGAAATGTACAGATTTCATATTTATACAGATTAACATAAATAATGTAGTTATTCAGTATGTGAGTATATTTTTATTGTAAGTTTAATATTTTACTAAATATGTCAAATAGGAAAATGAATAGTTAAAGTTTTTGGATGATTTTTCTCTTTTTATTTTTATTTTTGTATAAACTTCATTGCTAAGGGAGGATCGCCTCATAGGTTCTGTAGAAGGCGGGTATGTTTCTGAACATGTGTGAGAGCTTATTTCTTGTATTGGTAGCTTTTCTAGTTTTAATATTGATCATTTAAGTTTTATTTAAGCTTTTAACAAATGTTGCCAGCTTTTGTTTTCTTTTCATAACGCAGTTTGTTTCTTTTTTAATTTAGTAGCACTATGAAGCTCATTTTTTTTCCTACTTAACTAATATAGTGCATGATTTTATATGTCATGTCAATTACTTTAAGGCACATTTCCATAGCTCTCATTATGTCTGATCGGAAGTTATAAGCATTTATAGAATTTTTTTACAAGTTCTATTTTACATTAGCATTTTAAAAAAAGATGAAATAACAAATACCTGAAAAAGGATGCATTTTATAAAACAAAGGTATTTCTTTTCTAGAGATTGGCTTTTAAGAATACTAGTGGTTTTCAGATCCTATTATTATAAACAATACAATTAATTTTTTTTTTGGACTTTCTTTCCTTGTGCTGACGATATCTGTGAATGCACTGTTTGCCTTTTAGACAAGGCTGAAGAGAGCAGAGATGAATTAAGCAGAGTGATGAGACTTTAGCTGTACCCATTTCTTGGTCTTATCCTCTATCAAGCAGCAATTGCCTTTCAGCTGCACTCACAGCTTGCAGGCATAGCGATTACTGCCACCAGAAAGCCCACCTAAACATTCAAACTATCCACTGAAATCAAATATAGAGAAAGACTAAAACCATGGAGAAAAGAGGGTCAGAGTGAAGGTGTGTGTCTACTTATCATTTCTTAGTCTAGAATGCTCTTATACCTCCTCCTCCAGTTTTATATTCTCTACAGAGTCCCTCACACTGGGAATATTTCCTATAACCTAATTATCATTCTAGAATTCACAAGAACAGAAAAACTTGGGTTGCCTTGATATTCGATATAATGAGAATTTGCCTGTATGTTGTGCCTGTGACTTAACGCTCTGTACTAAGTAAAAACTTATTAAAGCATCTAGCTTTAAAAGAAAGAAATCTAATCAATGAAAATTGTTTTGGATTTAGTTTGGATAAAATTTGTTTTCAAACATGCTTTAAACATTCTTAAAATTTTGGACACATTAATACGCTGGACATACATTACTAGATAATCTTAATGGAATTAACAGCAAAGATGTAGAGAACTATAGTTTTCATTTACAACTTTGTAAAATCTGAGTTAGTAATATATTTACATAAGCTAACCTTGAAGTCACAGTTACTTGAGTTTATAAGACTACCTCTCTACCCCATGTATGAAGTAAATAGAAAAAGCATTATCATCCTATTCATCTGTGGCTGCCATCAGTGTGGCTTTGTTTTGGGACAAATTTATACAGAAGTATAAAGAATTCTCCCCAGTTAAAGAGATATGCTTAACTTTGGTATGTATATTTTTCTTAAATAAAGAAACCTAATTGACTTAGTTTAACCTCGTGTTTCCTAATTATATTTTACCATGGAATCTTTCATTTAAATACCTGTTAGTGAGGAACACACTCTGGAGAAACACTGATATAAAGCAAACTCTTTTAATAAATTCTGATCTTTTTAGAAGTAGAGGTAAAATTATGTAATAAATCATAGTAGGAATCTGGCATGGAGTTTTATATCTAGAAAGTTACTTTGATCTCTTGGAATAATAAAAAGAATATTTGATTAAAAATAAACTATTTAAACATCTTCTAAGAAAAAATCTTATTTAAATCTTAAAAATGATACTTTCCTTGTATTCTTAGAATTTTCACCTAGCCTGTCTTGAGCACATGCTACTAAATAGATTTATGCTGTATGCACTTGGTTTATGTCAAAGCATCAACATATGAAGTCTTATCTAGGTACCACAGGGCAAGACACATTAAGTAGAAGAGCTTCACAGAGACTTTGTCTTCTACAGTTCCTAAAATTTTCATCTAAACATTAAAAGTGGGATATGCTTGGGCCGATCTTAAGGAAGCTGTTCTTTTCAGTGGAAGAGAACTTATAAATTCATCAGCTATAATAAGAGAACAGAAATTAAAATCAACTTTTTAACTTAGTGTTTTAACCAGAAATGACAAAAAGCTAGATGATAAGGTTTGTTACTCAGAAAGAATCTAGTCTGTCTCAAACTCAATTTTCACTTAAAAAAAGTGGAGATAATAGTGCCTCCCTCACAGGATATGGGAAAGTTTTAAAGCGTAGTTTTAAGGTACTTTGCAAAGGGCTGCTGCCTTGTAAGCACTCCATAGTAGTCACTGGGGAGGATGATGGTGATGATAGGTGTTTCACATTTGGCTGTAGGTATCAGCATAGCTCTTCTGAGAAGGTTGTTTGAAGATGTAGTTTTGGTAAAATAACTGCCACTTTTATTTGGGTTAAATTTTTTGTGTTAAAGTGAATGGATGTGCTGATTGGACTAACTGGGGACATGTAGGACAGAGGTTAAGTTGACAGAATGGGCCTCTGCCTCTTTGGGCCTCCATTCTCTTACTTTTTCTGCTATGACCACTCTAGTATGATCCTTTCCCTCTCATCGCTTTATCCCATCTTCTAAAATTTTGAGATACAGAGTCAATCCCAAATAGAGAAATCATTTAGGTTCATTTTTTTGCATACTTAATCTAAAGTCTTATATACAGATCTTTTTTCAATATGTGAATTTATCCAGTTGAATTTATCGTAGTTTTAGAAGGGAGTATTACTTTCCATTTAGCTTATAAAAACGTTATTTTCAATGTCTCTTGTCCAGAATATTTAAAATGTTTAAATATAAAGAGTAAATATAAAGTGTGATTTTATTTTATGCCTCAGAATTTTGAGGAAATTAAAAAACTTTAGTATTGCTAAAATTTAAAAAAAATTTACGATTTATCTTATTAGGTAAAATACTAAAGTTTCTAATAACATAAGCTTACCTGTACATTCTTCATTTAAAACTTACATTAAGAAAATTCAGATGGCAGTAAGGAGGCATTTTGACTAAACATTTTATAATACATTTCTCTTCTGAAATTTCTCTTCTGTCTTCTCCCTTCTTTTCCTTTTCCTTTGCCTGTCAGCTGGACCAAAGCAACCCACTTCTACAGACTGTTTTTTTTACTCTTTTTTTTTTTTTTTTTCACATAGCTTAGGTTTTCTTGCTCTTATTAATTTAAAGATTATTTTAAAATTCTAACTGAATTAATATCTAAATATGTGTGTGTGTATATAAACCCACATACACACATATTTTATACGATATCTTCCTGGGTTACTGAGGTTGCAGGACTGTTTGCCTTTGTGCTGAATGACTCCAAGTGGCCATGCTTTGTGAACTATGCTTTAGTGAGTTCATATTCTTCATGCTTTAAGTTTGTATTCTCCAGTCAGTAATCTTGCTGCTTTCAATGTACCTGCTTTTAATCATATCCTGTATCTCTTTGTCTCCTGGCTTTTATTTGCTTCATTTAATCTACCGTGGTCTAGGA